ACCACTTCGTCAAAATGGACATTTTTTGTTTTTAGAGCGAAATTGAAACCGAGTTTTTTTGCCGAAAACTCGTCAAAATTGGTTGTTCTTGAGGGTCCGGTGTTTGTAAAACGTTGGACCCCCTGGCTGTACATGGACCTAGCATGAGACCAGGTACATCCAGGCAGTGCCAAAATTCAGACATACCAAGACATGCGCAGACTCGGTGTCGTTGAAGCCTGTTGGCGGATTTTCGATTTCTCAATGTCTGAACGCTATCCTCCTGTCACTGCACCTCCCGTCCACACGGAAGGCCACCGGCAAGTGTACTTTCGACATCAGCAACAAGTTCAACGCATCGCGCATGCACCACCCTGAAAATCGAACTGACAGCATGGGTTAAATGGAACGTCACACATATTCACAACCACGTGGACACTAAACCTCTCTGCAAAGATATGGTCCACAGATTCCGATTTGACAAAACAACTAAACAATGGGTTCTACGGCGACGTGCAACAACCAAGATCCTCCGCATCCATACCATACATCCAAATGCAGGAGACACCTTCTACCTCCGAATGTTGTTCACTTCACCACAGTCACGCGCCGCTACCACATTTGCTCATCTCCGTACCGTCAACGGCGAAATATTCTCGACGTTTCAATCTACATGAAAAACTTTTGGTCTGCTTAACGAGAACACACAATTTGACGCAGTCCTCTATGATGCTATTTTCACTTCATCATCACCAATGGTCCGTGATCTTTTCGTCCACATCATTGTTCACTGCAATCCTACAGATCCAAATGAACTCTTCGAAACACACTGGGAACAAATGATGGATGATTACCACAAAAATATTGTTGCCGCCCATATCACACGAGATCTCCTTAAAGCACTCCTCGATATTGAAAACCGGCTTCAAAAAGAAGAGAAAAAAATTGAAGATATCGGCCTCATTCCACCGCCTCCAGCTGATCGAAATGAGGCAACGAGGCTTGTAAAAAGACCGCTTCACAATGGTGTTGCACGAGTGATCGATGACGAAATGTCCTACGACAAACAAGTCGCGCAAACACTCCATACAAATCTCCCGGTTCTCCGATCTTCACAACATGCAGTCTTCCAACGGGCTGTGCATGTTGCAGAACACAGTGAACTGCTGTGTT